TGTAAGATAACTTGTGAACTTTAATACTCTACTGATATGCTAAATATATTTTTAAGGAAAGACACTACGAAAAAATAAAATGTTTCACAATGATAGTTATTACTACACGTTTGACGCTAATAATCAGGAAAATATAAATAAACGTAGCACACAAATAATTATATTTTATCAATCATTTATTATATATACAGGGTAGGAATTTATTACGAAAATTCAAAGCATATATATGTTAGATGACATTCGATATTTTCTTTTTGTTGGATTTCGAGAATGGCATCCATATTATTTATTTAGCTGTATTCATTTGCCAGCGTTTCATTCATCGGGTTCACGGGGCTTCATCATCATCATGCAACCTCTTTTGTCCAGTGCTGGACATAGGTCTCTCCTATTTTTCGCCTCGGAAAATAATAGAAGCTGTTGCGTAAGTAGTGTCGATATGGTAAATGAAATTGTACTGCCTAATTTATCCCCATAGATGGTAGAAGATGTTGTTCAATCTCAAGAGGAGGCTAACCATACAGAACATATATGAAGTCAGCAAACTGGTTACATTTTTAGTGAACAAATTGGCTTTCATTAAACTTCGGAAAGCTGGTTTCAGTTTTCAAACACGAACTTATTTTTTTAACATTTTTGATGAAGAAACTCTACAATTGATTGTAGACCAGACGAATGTTAGGATTTCACTAGATCTACATCGAAGAAGTAATAAAAATCAAGGACCTGGTCACCCAATGCTTGGATAAATAGATCTGTATATGAAATTCAAGATCTCGTCGGCGTCTGGATCATGATGGGAATTCTTCGGCTTCGTCAGTTAGCAAACTGTTGGTCCAGTAATCCTTATTTTGGGGATATCAAAATAGATTTTATTAGTGCACTGGAGTGGTGCTAGAATATTCGGTGAACCGTCTCAAAACTTCCAAAAATCTCTACATACATATAGGATAAGATTTCCAACCCAACACTCACACTGTACATTTAGTATTTTCAATTATCTAAATAATTTAGAAGCGCGTGCTGATATAAACATAATTAAAGATAATATCGAAACGAATGGGAAATAAGATAAAAAAATTGGATAATCTGCGCAACGTCTTGTTCTAATTTAATCAGTTAATAAGAACATTATTGAAAAATTGTCTGTTTAACAATAATTTGTGTTTTGATGTTAGACGTAGTGACTGATGATATATTTACGTTGGTTGTTGAATCTGGTCGTAATTTCTAATACATTTTAGTGGACTTTGGATTAAATTTGGATTATAATCGTTTAAGTAAGTAAATAAAAGTTATACTTATAAATATATATGAATATTATACTGATTAGGCTGGTAGGCTGATGTTGAGCTCGATTAAACCTAAATATATTGGCAACAATTTTATGTAAATAACTGAGTCCATCTGTGTTTATACGTCCATGGTCTGCTGCCTTTAGTTATTCAATAAGAATATTTGTTGCAATGCCTGAAAATCGGCCATAATTTATTCTGAATAGTGCAACGTTTTGATGTTTCAGCTAATCCTTCTGGAATATCTGCAAAAATATAAAATAAAGATATTATTAAATTTCATTTTGGCATTTGAGTAATTTGAATTGCAATTTATTAAATGAACATATTTGTACCGAATTGAAAAGATATTTTTGAACTTCCAATTTCTTCGAATTCACTTCGCATGTACTCAAAAAAAGTAGTTCCAATTTTCCAATTGTGATTATTTCTCGTTATACATTAATTAAGCTGGTTAGTGGTTAGGAAATAACCATCTAACCTTTACTTGTTAATGATTGCCAGGCTAATGATCTCTGATAATATATTACGGTAAAAATTTATCGATCATGGTAGCAGTAATTGTCGTATATCTTTTGTGTAACTATATTAATAATCAACTTTATAGTAATAGTGTACATATGAATATACAATAATTAAGACAAAAACTAATACGTTCATCAACTCAAATAAAAGTTCAATAGACAAATTCACGAGAGGATTTCAGTACAGTGCTTATGAGAAGCGACGTTACCGCTTAGGCCGCTAGGCACGTTCATAGTCTGCAGGTGTGATACAGGACCGCGTTGGCCCTCCTGTACGATAACATTAAATCATGCAATCCTATTAGAAGTAAATGTAACATTATTTATAACTTTTTTACTAAATTATTAGGGTGTAACATATTGGGAGTAAATAATTATACAGGGTGTAACAACAGAATGGAGCCTACTAGGGAAACTGTTAAAAACAAAAAAAAAATTCGTAGCTCCGTAGTGGCTACAAATTTAAATTGTTAATTTATATACCGACAGGATATATACCAACTTGGATCATTGATTACTATTAACAGTCTCAACAATTATTGCAAAGAAAAGTGTGTATACACCAAAGAATAAAGTTACGCTAATAAAAGAAAGAAAAATTTATGTAGCCTAAGCGCTACCTAATGAATAAAGATAAGACTTAAATGAAATCGTAGGCTTCCACGGCCAGAGTCAGAATTATAGTTTATTCGTCTTCCGGTTTGGACCGTGTCATTTGTGAGTGACCCAAAAGTGGGTTCATCTCGACGTTTCGCTACAATTGTATGTAGCTTCTTCAAGAGAACAAAGAAAAAGAAAAAGAAATCAAAAGACAGGAAGATGGGTAGTTAGAAACGGTAAGTCAGTTACTCAACGCAACCAGAGGCGAATACTAACTACCAAGATGGGCATTTGGTCACAGTAACTCAACTACATAACGCAGCCAGAGGTGAAAACCAAATGCCAGGACAGAGATTCACGTCCAACAGCTCAGAACACTAACGCGTCGAGAGGCGGGGAGTGAATCCGACGATTACTCCGCTACCGCTCTATTTATAGTCGCGGTGACCTGTCGTGTCGGGACGTATCGGCACACTCCGTGGCGCGAACGTCAAGAAGCGCGCGCTGGCCAATCATGTGGCTGCATCGTGGTAGCGGGACCGGACGGCGGCTCTAGACTGAGATTCCAGATGGGAGACAAGTAGTATCCTTCCTCTCGATTGATATTATGTGGATTTTTTCGGATCTCTAGAGATTCGCGGATTTTCCTGGAATAAAAGAAGGAGCTCTTAGAAATAATATGGGTTTTTTCGAACAATATGGAATGACCGGTTTCTTGGTAGTGTTCTGCAACTGCAGAATGGGAGAAAAGACCTGATCGAATGCATCTTTGATGCTCTTGAAGGCGAGTTTTGACGGAACGACCAGTTTCGCCAATATACACATGTCCACATGAACAAGGAATAGAATAGACACCACAGGAAGATAGGAGCGGTGATATCTCACAATATCTACCCTCTCCTAAGGACCCATTACCACCCCTATCTTCCTGTGGTGTCTATTCTATTCCTTGTTCATGTGGGCATGTGTATATTGGCGAAACTGGTCGTTCCGTCAAAACTCGCATTCAAGAGCATCAAAGATGCATTCGATCAGGTCTTTTCTCCTATTCTGCAGTCGCAGAACACTACCAAGAAACCGGTCATTCCATATTGTTCGAAAAAAACCCATATTATTTCTAAGAGCCCTTCTTTTATTCCAGGAAAATCCGCGAATCTCTAGAGATCAGAAAAAATCCACATAATATCAATCGAGAGGAAGGATACTACTTGTCTCCCATCTGGAATCTCAGTCTAGAGCCGCCGTCGGTCCCGCTACCACGATGCAGCCACATGATTGGCCAGCGCGCGCTTCTTGACGTTCGCGCCACGGAGTGTGCCGATACGTCCCGACACGACAGGTCACCGCGACTATAAATAGAGCGGTAGCGAAGTAATCGTCGGATTCACTCCCCGCCTCTCGACGCGTTAGTGTTCTGAGCTGTTGGACGTGAATCCCTGTCCTGGCATTTGGTTTTCACCTCTGGCTGCGTTAAGTAGTTGAGTTACTGTGACCAAATGCCCATCTTGGTAGTTAGTATTCGCCTCTGGTTGCGTTGAGTAACTGAGTTACCGTTGCTAACTACCCATCTTCCTGTCTTTTGATTTCTTTTTCTTTTTCTTTGTTCTCCTGAAGAAGCTACATACAATTGTAGCGAAACGTCGAGATGAACCCACTTTTGGGTCACTCACAAATGACACGATCCAAACCCGGAAGACGAATAAACTATAAAGATAAGACTTACAATAACAGTGTCTGGTCTCTGCTCCATTTCGGAAAAATCGTCTTTACTGGAACTGCCGGTGTTGGCTGTGATAATCACCGGTAGGATATCTTCCTGTAGGTTGCCAGCTATCCACATTTCTTAGAATTAAATAATTAAATAAGTCCAAAATACTTATAGAGAAATGATAAAACAAGATTTGAACTTGGATTTAGGTCCTTGTTGAATTCAAAAATAGTATTTTTTAGTTGTTTTTTTTTGAGCCTTAAAAAAATCGTAATTTTGCGTTTTTTTTTTCAGTTATAAATTGTTTATAGCTCGAAAACTATCAAGCTTACAGAACAATTACAAGACGACTATTTTGTTGGGAATGGCACAGAAAATTTAAAAAACCATTTCTGGGCCGAAAAAATTCATTGTTACAATTTGTAGCCGAAAAAAAATTTCAAAAAAAGATTTCGATAGAAGATTTTTTAAGCTCTTTTCTTCTTTACTTTTCTAAGAACTCTTCACGCATTTGCTTGATAAAATATCCAAAAGATATACAATTGATAATGAACTGGTATACCTTTATGACGACAATGACTTTTCGTTAATCAATGACAACGGCATTAAAAGAAAAAAGACGCAATTAAACTTCTCTTTCAAACATAGCGTGTTAAAAGTGTTATTAGGTTTTAGCATAATTAGCAGTAATTTTTTATATTTCCGGAAACATTTTCACTCATGTAGTTCGAGGCAAAAACGAAACAAATCAACCGAAATTTCTTCTTGTTGTAATTAATAAAGTAAAAAGTAAAATAATTGACAGTAGAGAAATCATAAATTACGTTTTATAATAATGCGAACAATGACGGTTTATTAGTATTTGCCTACGGAATGCAGCCCGCAGGCAGAGGTACGTTATAATAATAAAAAGAAAGTATGTATAACTTTTCTTCTTTACTTTTGTTGCATCGAGAGAGAAAATGAAATGTCTATGTAAATATTTTAATTTGTTACACGAAACTGCATGTCTCTTTGAATCATTGGGGACATTAAAGTTGATATTTTAATTCGTCGACTAATAGTCCGGGGACAAAGGGGGCTTTCGTGGCCGATTGAGCTCCATGATATTTTACAACTGATTTTTATGTATTTTGACCCGCTGAATCCGAATCTTCAACATGGTAATCCGAATTGTTGGGCAGGAATTTGGTATTCACAATTGAAGCGTTTATTTGAAAAACAAAACTTGTTCAAAAATTAAAATTTTGGCAAATCAAGAAAAACTGTTCAGCTTCAATTTATTTCAAATTTTCTAGAGTTTTAAAGAGAGCGCTGAAGAGTTCTACGATTGGAGTATGGTACTTGGTTTCCCTGGATTCTGGTTCTAGATTAAGATAAAATTCTTTATTAAGAGGATTCATGAGATATTTAGTTAACTCCATTAGATCACGAAACTTTGGTTGACTTATTTTATTTTTCACTTTATTGAGAATGTTGGCGATCATCATGGCAATCTTTATCTTATCTGCATCATTCATCATCATTTTGGCTTTACAACCATGTGTGGGTCCTAGCCTTCCCAAGAATTCTCTTCCAGTCGTCCCTATCCATGGCCTTCCTCCGTCAAGCACGTATTTCCATATTTCTCATATCTTGGTCTATGTTATCTAGGAATCTTGTTCTGGGTCTTCCTCTTCTTCTTTGACCAATAGGTCTATCAAGAAGCGTTTTTCTAGCTGGGTCGGTTTGCTCCATCCGTATTACATGGCCTACCCACCTCAGACGTCCTATCTTAATGTGTTTTACGATATCTGGTTCCTGGTATATTCTATAGAGTTCGAAGTTGTATCGTCTTCTCCAGACACCATTTTCATTTACCGCTCCATAGATTCGCCTCAGTATTTTTCTTTCGAAACATCCTAACATGTTTTCATTGCTTTTGTTAAAGTCCAGGTTTCTGAACCATTATCTTATCTGCAGCAGCGCGGAAAAGCTGCACAGATGTTATATTGAACCAGATTCTGAGGTTCTTTAACCAATATGTTTTTCTTCTTCCTGAACCTCGCTTTCCAAATATTTTTCCTTGCAGGATGGCTTGAAGAAGAGCATATCTGAATTAATTTCGCATAATATATCCGAAGAATTGTAACTTTCGAGATTTAATGGCGGTCAGTACCTCTCCGTTCTTATTCATTCTTCTGAGGACCTCCTCATTTGTAACTCGGTCAGTTCACAGGATCTTAAGTATTTGTTCATAAGAACTTGTGGGGCTTCTAAGTTGTCCGCAAATACTATGGTGTCATCTGCATATCTGATGTTGTTTAGCCGGTAACCATTTAGTAGAATACCTTTTTCAGTTTCTTGCAAAGCTTCGATAAATATTCTTTCAGAGTACAGATTGAAGATTAGAGGAGGCAAAATACAGCCTTGCCTCACTCCACGCACGATTTTCACATAGTCAGTGTGTTCACCTTCAACTCTGAGATTTGCTGTCTGATTCCAGTAAACATTTCTAATTATTTTCAGATCTTGGTTGTTAATTCCTGCTTTTTTTGTATTTGCATCATCTTGGCGTGCTGTACTCGATCAAACGCTTTCTCGTAATCAACCAGACATGCGTATACGTCGCAGTTGACGTCTCTGCATCTCTGGAATAAGACTTGTACTGAGAACAAAGCCTGTCTAGTACCAACAGCATTTGTGATCCCGAACTGGTTGGGGGAAATGTGAGTTTCACAGAGCTTGTAGATTCTCTTATGAATTATCTTTAGGAACACTTTTAGGAGGTGACTCATAAGACTTATAGTACGGCAATCTTCACATTTTTTGGCTCCTAGTTTTTTTGGAAATGCAATAAAATCAGATTTCTGATCGCCATGTATATAACCGTCTCATTGATAATTTAAAGAACGTGTTTGTGATTATTAGACTTTGTTCTTGGCAGAATTGTATTAGACGATCTCCTCTATCGTTACGTTCCCCTAGTCCTTGGTCTCCCATTACTGTTCCAGCTTCTCCTTTGCCGACTTTTGCATTGAAATCGCCCATAACTACCGTGATTTCCCTGTTATTTGTCATTTTCAGTGCACCTTCAATTTGTTGGTAGAATTTTTCTACTTCATCTTCTGTTGCATCCGTCGTTGGCGCATATACTTGGATCAGATTTAATTTTGTGTGTGATGTCCTTATTTATAGTAGCATCACTCTTTCTGAGATTGGGACAAAGCCCTCTATTGACTTGTTGACCTCTGTATCGACAATAATTGCTACTCCACGTCTATGTTGGTTATCAGTGTTTCCCGAATAATATAAGGTACCGGTTTTTGTTGAAAGATATCCTGAGTTAGGCCACCATGTTTCGCTTATTCCTAATATATTTATATTCAGTCTTCCCATTTCCTGAAGGATGGTATGCATTTTACCAGGTTGATACATGCTTTTGACGTTCCACGTACCTATTTTTGTTTTTGATCATTTTAGTTTGTATTTTTTCGAAGTTTGACAAGGGTTTCGCCGGTTAACGATCTGGGAGTCCTTGTCTGTTCCTCCCCTGTTGGATCTTGGGCATGGATTCCCATGATCAGTTTCTTTTTTTCCTTTAGTACTCATTGCCATGATAATTGTACTAGAGATATCCAATTGGATCTTGAATGCAGTGGTTTCTCCTTGCCTTCTGCATCCTTATGCCGTTGACCATTTAATTGATTCATTCGCCTTTGGTGCCAATTTCTTAGCATCAGGACAAAAGAGTGCCCTTCCACTTACTAACTTATCCGCCCGAAGCCATTGTTCAGCAAGTGTGGGATTGCTAATCGTTCGGTGGAATTTTCACCATATCTGGCTACCTTCACTTAGTTTAGCCTGCAGAGCAATGCAGTTGCCCGGGGTGTGCACGTGGAGCCATAAGTGAGAGTTAGCTGTCTTATGAGGACCAGTTATCAAGAACCATCTCTCGTCTATGACGCTCGATGTGGTCGTTTCGATAAAAGGTGCTACCTCTATAACACAACTCTACACCCCCAGCATTAACCACTTTAAATGGAGAAGGTTTAGATATTGACTGCCGAATCATATTATCCCATTCTTCTGGAACATCAACAACTTCTTTTTTTGTACAAGAAATGGGACTAAAGTCACTGTCGCAAGGTACGGATGAATGTCCTCGTATTGGATATACGTGTTATCACTGATGCTAATTTCAATATATGCACCAGGATATAATGAAAAGCGGATAAATATGTAGTTTTTACTCTGACTGTTGTTTTACCGAGTATATGATGAAATATCATGGAAGTTACTTCATTTTGACTACGTTTAGGCATTTCTTCGTGATAGGTATACAAATGGATATCATTGCATCCGATATCGTGTACACCTAATACATAGTACCAAAGTTGTCGCTATAGAAAACTTTATTTGTAGTCAAATTGTTTACTATGCTGACATTTATGTTTAATTTTTTGTTTCATAAAATGCCTTTGCTTTAGCGTGATGAAGGTGTCTTACTTGAAGCAGTTCCTTTTTTGTTGATTCATCGATATTCGGTAGTTTGAGTTGGGTTTCAGTTTCATCACATAATGTAAAAGTGTCACTTCTGGGGTAAGAAAAAGATCTGTTGAATCGATTTTAAAATATGTTATAATAAACAAAGTAAGAAACCTTGAACTGTTGGTGAAGTTCTTAGTCTCTGTACGTACTTTTTACATTTAATTCTGATGGTAGACAAATTTGATTTTGTCCAGTCTCGGAGTATACTGACTTTGGCGGCCTTTGAATAAAGAAATGTTCATATTTACTATGTTTACAATATTATTTCATAATTTTACAAAAAGGTATATCACCCTTTTATAAGTATTTTGCCCCTAGACTATAAAGAGAACTGAAATAAATCATTAAAACGATTTTTAGATGGTCAATACAATCTTATAAATAACGGTTTAAAACAGTCTACGTTATTCCCAATTCCCAATCTCCAGTGTTCTGTCTAAATGTCTAAACTGTGTTTTGTTTTGGCATATGTTTACACAAAAAAAGTTAAAATTCTGGCTCAACATGTTTACATTTAGCCGTCTTTCTGCCATTTCATCGTTGATACTTGATACCCTCTCTAAAACTTGTTCGTGGTCTATCTCTACGCAACATAAAGAACTGGACGGGCATAAATAACACTGGCAATCTTTTGCATGCCGCATTCGCCAACGCACTATAGGTGCACTATAAGAAGAAGATGAAGGTCTATCTCTGCTATCTCTTCTCTATGCTGTTAACTCTAGTATTTGCTTTGGTAATCGATCTTTTCTCATTATCTGAACCTGCCAGTACCACTTGAGTTGTTTGTATTTTACGTGGTCAATCAATGTGTTTTAAACGGTGGTCATAAATCTCCGGATATAAATCATTGATCTTCTAGCCGATCTTCTCCAGAAGTCCATTTCCGTAGCTGCAAAAGTGTCTTTTGTGTTTTGATGATGTCTGATATATCCTTCTTTTCTTTTCTTTGGAGACATTTTGCCTCACAAAACCCATTCATGATTTTATGGCTGTTCTTCGTTGCATATTTCTGTCATTCACAGGGTCCCATCGTCTGTCAGTTTCATGCCCATAATATTTGTACGTTTATTTGTTCACCATCATTAAGAATCAGATGATGAACGAAGCTGTTGTTTGTTGTAATACCTAAAATCTAAAATAAACTTATTTAAATTGTAAATCGTTATTTAATTAAAAAGTTTATAAATAATTATCAGTAGTAATATCCCTAGGACATTTATAACAGACGAGATAATTTCATGGCAATCGAAAGCTCGTTCCTTGGTAACAGCACGAAGCCGAAGGCTGAGTGCTGTTACCAAGCCACGAGCTTGAGAAATTTGTCATGAAATTATGAGGCATTCATCAATGTCCGAGGGATATTCAGCGGATAATTTTTCGGCGGACAATGTGGAACGAACTCTTATTCTCGTCCGCAGCAAAATTCCATGAATATTCCCCAAATATATTTGTTACTGTAGGTTGTATTTCTTGGAATTTTTTCTTTGATTAGCGCATTTATACTTTGAACAAACTCATTGCCGAAACGTGACATTTTGAAATTTATTTGGATGAAGTTGTCGAACTCGATCGTGTTGTTATAGGGATTGAAAATTGCACTGAATGCAATTAGGGTAAACTGTGCAAATACCGGTCAGTGGGTAATGGCGGTCATCCCGATTGTGCGAAATCTATTCAATCTGGCAACCTCCTATAACTGCCAACGTGTCGCTACACTACTCTGTATTCAGATTGCTGACGAGCGTTGAGTTGGCGCAAACCATTGTCATAGAAATATTATTAACCTGTTTTCAGTGTTTTCGATCTTATTTTTATGCTGAGTAATATAAGCTCTTATTTCATTTTTATTCACTTGTAGATCTTAAAATTGGTTACAGTTGATTATAATGACGTTAGCTGCCTATTCCTTTTTTAAAGATCAATATTTTAATACATGTTTACGAGTAAAAAATTCTAAGAAAAAAAATGCCAACAGGAGGCAATGCCGGTCAGTTGACCGGTATTACCCCATGCTATAATTTATACCCTATACTATTAATCCTTAGAGATTAATCCATCCATTTTTCGACATTGCAAGAATGAATAAAAAATAAAAATTTCAAGGTATCTCATTAGGTAGAAAATCAGTATTTTCTGCCGAACAAGAAGCTAAAATAGCCACACAAAAAAATATTTAGCTTAATTTTTTATGGCGTAACAGCAATAGAACTGAGAAAATTAGCATTTGGGTTTACAAGATAATTTTTCTTGTAATAAAACACCTTTTTCTTGTAATTGGCATTACAAGAAAAAGGTGTTTGATTCTAGTTCTTTGGAATCGGATATTGATATATCATGTGATAACAGTGACGATGTATATGAAGATAGATGCCTGGTTTACAGCGAGTTTGGCAAAAACAATGAATTGTGGTATATATTTACCGTTCGCTCACGATGGGCTTATTCAGAGTGCAGTGGATGGGATTCTGCAGAGAGTTATACCTGCGATGATTGTCAACTATTTTTACATTAAAACACATATTTTTGTTATTTTTTGTTTGTTTTGCAATAAAAAATATTTTTTCACCTTTCTTACTGATTTACTTGAATTATGACCCATTAAGCCACATTCGTTAATCGTTTTATAACAAAAAAATGTTAAATAGATATTGATTTTTATTTTAATAATAACACAAACAAATTGACTGGCATTACCCACACTCATGACCGGTATTGTCCATGTATGGTGACAATACCGGTCAAAGATACTTTTTTATGTTTTGTCTCTGTCAAAGACAAAAATTTTATATTTTTGAAATTAAATGTATCTTGCAATAAGTTAAAACCCCAAATTACGGATTGACGGCTTAAATTTGATTCACAGAGTTTTACTTTTTTTTATATTAAATTTTCTTCTTAGGTGACCGCGATTTGCACACTTTACCCTATCAGTCTAATGTTGACATGATTGGGTGAAATTTTTCGACATGAAACAAAATGACGAAATTTGATTGGTTGTTAGAACAGTCGAAAAATTATCAGTAAATAATATTATTTTTAACGGTTGTATGTCTGCAAATACCATCCTGTGCGTACTAAATATTTTTTGAAAACCGCGAAACTTGATAATATTTATTGTTAATAAAACTGTTAACACATTTTGTACAGTTTGCGTTTTTTGTTACAGATTATGCTAAAATTTCTTCTGCTGGCAGCATGTACGATATACAATTCAATTATTATTCAGGGTAAGTCTATATTTTTTGCGTTTATTTTTATTTTATAATCGCATAAACAACAAAGCCATAAAAGACATTTCGAAACCTATTTTCTTGTGAAATTTTATTCCTATAATTTTCCTTTAAGGTTTTTCTTCTATTTTCCATACTCTGACTATTCATTGATAAATGATCGTAGAGATTTCGTCTGGACCAGGTGCTTTTTACTGCTTTATTTTTTATGAGTTTTAGATATTTTTCATATGCTGGTGTTATCTCGTTATCTATTTGTTTATGGCATATTCTTCTTTCTTTGGGTTTCCATTATTTTTCTGTAGTTAGTCGGAGTGTTTACTATATTCTTTTGTCGACTTTAACCACTGATCTATATTTCCTTTGCTTTTAGATAAGCAAATAGTTCAGCTTTATCTTTGCTATTCTTTTCCGAATCTTGTTACAATTCATGCACCTACTATCTTTTTGTTTTTACACCTTTTGTCTACTTTTTCCACTTATATTCATTAACAGTTAAATTTAAATTTATCACCTCACTTAATTTCATTGTTATTTCAATATTTTTAGCCTTTCCGATGGTTCAAGAATCTCAAGGCATTTACACAATAACAGCAGAAGATATAAGTTCCTCCAGCTCAGAATCAAAGGAAACATTCACAGATGACTGGAACTACAAGTTGGAACATAGTAAAGTACCCATTTTGGCGAATATCGTTCGGAATCATACTCTTCCACCACCGGGCAATGGCAGTGTAAGTATGTATTATTTTGATTGCCATTTTAAAATTTATTATCGCTAAAATTTATTATTGCTCATTAATCTCATTCTATTTCATCTCTAGTCTCCCTTTTTCATTAGATTATGCCAATATAATATTTTTTCACTTGTCTAGATCAGTGTTTCCCAAAGTGGGGGTCGCGACCCCTTGCGGGGTCGCCATGAGGTACTAGGGGGTCGCCGAACATTTCCAAAATAAGACAAAAGCACCACTTTGTTAGATCATGTATTTTTATTTTAACAACGCCGTAAATAGAAATTAACAATTAATTATCAGACGAAATATAAAACTAAATATTAAAGTCCGTAAAAATAAAAGAGTAAAACAAAGTCAAATATTATAATCTTAATGAGAGCTATGCGGCTGTTTCTGTGAAACTAATCTTTCAAATCTAGGCTGTGTATTTGAGACACACACAATTATATCATTTTCAAGTACTAGACGATTTCTAACTGTTGTTTTAATGGCAGTCATAGACGAGAAACTTAACTCACACAAATATGTTACAAATGGAACCAAACATTTTACAACTTCACTCGCCAACTGGGGGCATTCCTGCATCTTTTCGGTCCAAAATTGGTCCGAGTTCTGGGAAAAAATTGGAGGTTTAACATTCCATCACTTGATATTTCAATAAGTTTTTCTTTCATGTTTATTGGTATTTCAACATGCTGAAAGGAATCGGCTAAAAACGGATTTAGTATCCATCTGCAACTGTCGTAACTGTTTTGAATTTCTTCGGGGAAATAATCACAGAGCTGTTGTTTTAAATTGAGCAAAGTAACATGCATGTCAGCAAAAACTTGTTCAAAATTTGTAGCACTGTAATTGGATACATTTTCCATAATTTCCTGAAGGCACTGGGATGAATCGAGTTGTTTTTTGCCAAGTGAGGTCGACCATAAATCGATTTTTCTGTCGCGACCTTGTAAATTACTGTTCAAAATATTTAATTGCTCGAAAATATCAGCAAGGAAACCTAGTTTCAGAAGCCAAATAGGATCGGAAAATTGATTTTCATATGGGGACTTCTCATCTTTCAAATACATTAAAAGCTCTGCTCTTAAGTGAAATACTCTTTTTAAGACGTTGTCCCTTGAAAGCCACCTTACTTCGGTGTGATAGAGAAGATTTTCAAATAAAGCACCCATGTCTTCGTAATTTTTTCTAAAAATACGGGTCTGCAAAGCTTTTCCTTTAATGGAATTTACAACTTTATTGATGGTTTTCATAACACAGTACATTTCAGGAGGTAAAGCTTTGGACGCAAGAGCTTTTCGATGTAAAAAACAATATCTCCATTTGGCATTAGACATTATTTCTTGTAATTTGACGACAAGACCAGATTTATGTCCTGTCATAGCTTTAGTGCCATCTGTGCATATAGCATTTACTTGTACGTTTCACAAAAGTGTCGAGTAAACATTTTCCAGTGGTATTGGTCTCCAATGGGGAACAAAATAAAATATCTTCTTGAATGCCATTAATTGTATCATATCTTACAAACGTAATGAATTGGGCACAGTTAGATATATCTGTGAATTCGTCCATTTGAAGAGAGAAGTACGTGCATTTATTAAGATTTTCCACAACTTGCGCTTGAATATCTTCTGCTATATCACTAATGCTTTTTTGTACCATTTTTTTGTACCAATTGTGTGCGGATTACTAGTTTTGGCAACACGATAAGCAACTTTATAACTTGCTAATAATGCTTTTTCATTAGTAGTGGTTGCCAAGGGAAAACTGTCTTGATGTTTGTGAAGGACGTTTAGTTTTCTTTCAAAGAATTCTACGGGCTTGTCTTTTTTATCTGGATGTTTACTATTTAAATGTCAAAGTAACTTTGATGGCTTCATGCTTTCATTTGGCAAGACTTGTCCACAAATAACACATTGTGGTTTATTGGAAATAACGGTAAAACCATATTTAAGATATTCATCAATGTAGAATCTGTTTTTCTTTTTATTGATGCTACTGCCACTTTCAGACGTAGATGGTTTTGCACTTCTTTTTAAAAGCTTATCCATAATTTATAATTTATCGTAGACGTAAATACGTAAACAGGAATACGTAAGTCGTAAAATATTTACTCATTACTCAATACCGCGTTCGCCACCATAGGCTGTTTGGGTTCGAACTGAGGTTTCGTTGCGCATCGCCGCTTATATAAAGCCAAAACGAGGCTACGAGAACGTTCCAGAGTGCCATCTAGTAGCGAGCTCTTTCGCGATTATCATGGAAGAGTTTTGCGATGTAGACACAAGCTAATATGTCGCGGTGTACAATGTGCAGTCGACTTATTATTATTTATTTTTATTGTAAATGCTATTCTGGCAGAAGTACCTACTACTAATTACTAGTGGGACAGATCGCAATCAATAAAATAATTGTATTAAAATAATTGTTTTTGATTTAAACTTAAACAGTAAAGTAAAATTAAATTTGTAAATTTGATAATTGTAAATTAGGCACGCTTTTTCTTTTAAATAATATTGAATAAATGAGTGGGGGGAAATTGGGGGGTCGCGAACAAATTTTTTAGCAAAAAGGGGTCGCGGTTTAGATTAGTTTGGGAAACTCTGCTCTAGATCATCCCTTTTCAAGTTTTATGTGTAATATTTGTCATTGCACATATACAGGGGGGTCCTTAAGTAATTGTACAAAAAGAAACCGTAGATTCTATACTTTAAAATATTACGATTTAAGACAAATTGCTTTAATAAAATGTTGATATTAAGAAAGATACAGGGTGTTAAAGTAGAGATTTAAAATTTTAATTTTCGCTATAACTTTCATGTTTGTGAACATTTATGTATTAAAATTCATAAGTGGGTACTATTGAACATCAGGAATTATAATTTAATGTATACTTTAATGTAGCTGATAGAGGGCGCCACATATGCCACATATGTGGCATACATTTGCACTTAACTTTTTTTGCTCTTTAAGTTAGCAGTATTTATGATAAAAACTATTAAAGATAAAATTATTTTATCAAAAAAAAGGTATACTTGATAATAACTTCAAAACTCAACAGTTTTCGAGACAATCGCATTTTACAAATCAACTAATTCAGATTTAATTACTCCAGGCAACGAAAGAAAATTACACAAATACATCAATATTTCTGTTATTTTGTCAATTTTGGTATAAAATACCTTTTAATAAAGTTAACGAAATATTAAATAAAATAAAAAATATATCAGCATCATAATTTGCAATAGGATTTGACAAAATAACAGAATGATTGGATTTTACATAAAACATTTTACGTTTTATATTAAACTAAAGTCATAACCAAGAAAACGAGGTAGACCAAGACGATCCTAGAGAGACGATGTCGACGATGCAATGACCGCCAGAGATCTAACAACTGAAGATTGCTTCGACAGAAAACGCTGGAAATTAGGATGCGAGAAGCGGCGCCAGCTGTAGAAGACTTGCTTGTACAGTATTGGAAGATTCAAAACGGAACATACGAATTATTAATACAATTATTAAGATCCCCTGACCTGCAATTACCCAGTGTAAATTTCAATATAACGTCGCGATGTCTTATAATTAATTCATTTGTTCGACTGGACTCCTTCTCCAGTCGATATTTTTCGACTGCTGCGCACGTGAGCACCTACACTCGATTAGTACTAATCGAGTAACGACGAGAAGTAGATCCACCAGGCTTGAGAATGGCAAGTGAGACCTTGCCGAAACGTCGCCAAAACAATGGTTTTCAAGAAAACCAGCACTTTACAACGCGGAGTCAAACCCGGAAAAATAGTGACAGCACATATAGCTCCCGCGGAAACCTCAAAACAAACATATATATATATATATATATATATATATATATATATATATATATATATATATATATATATATTATATATATATATATAATAACTCATAAGAAAAACATTTTATTTTCTCTTTTATCCTCTTGTAAAGATAGGTCTTCATTTTTCTCCAAAGCCATAGATAATCTATATATTTCGTTCTATTGTGAGCCATCTTTTGAGTAATCATATCTATAAAAACTAACATAAAATACCACAAAACAAGCGCCAAATTCAAAGCAAAATTTAAGAAATCAACCGTTCTTAAATGCAATGCACATACGACTGAACGAATATGAGATTTTTGCAACACGATGAAAACACGGTAAATCCGCTGTGCTCAATTAAAACGCGGCAAGTACATGATACTCGCTAGTATCACACATACCGCTTTTTAGTTGAGTACTCTGTAGATACCGCATTTTAATTAAACAACTATTGAAATTTGGCACATACGGCATATGCCAATTTCTTTATTTTGTTAGTAAACAAAATAATAATACGGCTTTTAGACATTGCAGAAGCATAAATAAGGTCACAAGGAATCCACATATAGCAAAAACTCGGTTTTCAATGTTTTTGCAGATATCGCGTTTTAATTGAGGACGGCAGTATTAGTGATGAGAGTTGACTCCTGAGTGCTTTAGCTTTGTTGACCGTTTACGTGCTCAGTGCAGGTCAGCTTTTTATCCAATGTTATTTAGTGCCAAATATTATCATTTTGTCAATTTATAATTATTTATGTATCATTTGTTTCATGAACTTAAATAACTTGATAAATAATCATTTTTATTTCTATTTTAGGCTCGATTGCTGTGGGAATACGATCAAGAGAAATCCTCGCATTTGCCGCAATTCTTTGATAAAGCATTGAAATTGTTAAATTTGAAACAAGTTGCATTTGAAATTGAAAATTCGGTTATGTCAAAGGTTTCTTGTACAGCATGTAAAGCAGGTAAAAAGTTTTTTTTTGTAACTTTAAGGTCCCTTATAGACATTTTTTACATTTACAAACAGTTATATATTTCTTATCAAACATATTTTTTACTACTATATTTTAACTGATGGATTCGACCTTACTTGATGGAAATTTACTTTAAAGACCAATAAAACACTGAAATTTTTATTCTCAAAACTTCTACAAAATTCATTACAATAATTTATTATCAGTACAGTTGTTTCAGCAGATCTTTTTCCCAAGTGATCTCTTTTTAGTAAGCGTTTACACTTTATACTCTTTAACTGAATAAGTTGAGGTGGAGAGAACTGTCTCAAGTTGGTCATTCGTAATTATTATGTCTGTGTTTTTAAATTTGTTAATTTCTATAGCTTCGAATAAAGATAGCTCAAGGCCTTTATTTTGAATACAATGAATATGAAATTGGTCATTAAAAGAATGATTATGAAATATAATATTATGAATATTATTATTGTTGAAAGTCTTTTTATGTTCTGCTATACGTTTGGTAAAAGTTCTACCAGTTTGACCGATGTAAGTTTTTGGGCAATCGACACATCCAAGTTTGTATACGCCACTGTGTAAGTGCTTTTTATTTTGGCTCTTGCTGTTTTGGCAATATAATTGCCTAAGTTGTTGTTTGTTCTGAAAGTTTCCTCCTTTGTGGTTTTACTCCTTTTTTTTATGTGTTCGGATATTTTTGTTATTATCTTGCATGTAATGTAATTCTACACAACATAAATTAGCAGCCTACCATAACATGTCACATAGATTCATAGAAATTCATTAATCGAAAATCAAAAACCAACTTCGAATTACAACTGAATATCGTAAAGAACACAACGATAAATATAATATAAACAATAGATACAACGAACAAACAACAAATAAAATTGTAAATCAAAAACTACATAAGAAAGCCCTGACATTAGTATTTCCACCACAAGAGAAAAAACCTAGTACCTTCTGCTCGATTATATACATATACAGGCAAGATATCAACAAAAATAGCCAATCACGTAAAAAGGAAAGGAATAACACCAGCCTTTAGAGCAAACAACCACTTAGAAAAATATATTAAGAATAACAAGAGCTAAAAAAGCACAAATTTACATTGGTCAAACTGGTAGAACTTTTAACAAATATACAGCAGAACACAAACGGGCTTTCAACAGAAAAACAATTTTAATTCTCCACATTTAAAATAAGGGCCTTAAGCTATCTTTATTAAAATCTATGGAAATGACCAAATTAAAAAATATAGACATAATTCAAAATGACCAATTTGAGACCAGTTCTCCATTCCATTTAGTTGAAGACTATAAAGTGTAAACGCATTCCAAAAATAGATCACTTGAGAAAGGCAATCAGCCGAAACAGCTGTAGTGATAAGATATTAAGTATAATAAATTTTGTGGAAATTTTGAAAACAAAAGTTTTCATTGTTTTGTTGTTAAATGCTTTGTTCAAATTTAATTATATTAACAAATCTTTAATTAAATTGTGTTAGCTACAATCTTTAATATCATCTTTCTTCTCTCTAATCATATCAGATTATTTTTATTTACATTACTGAAAATTTTGAATTTTTAGGAGCAGGTTTACTTCAGCACTACACAAGAATAGGCAAATCCGAAAAAGAAATCAAAAAAACTATCTATCAGTTCTGCGTCAATTTAAAACTCCAATCACCGAGAGTTTGTGAAGGAATTACAGAACTGTTTGCGGGGGAGGTCATTTACGTTCTCAGCAAAGTCAAAATCGGTAAGTAAATATTTATAAGTAAGTATTTATTCTGGAATTGATAAATATTTTCGACACCATAGACTGATATACCTAAGAAAAGAAATTTGCACTAACGGCTAATATTTAAAGTATTATACGTTTGCTGATGATGTACTACTACTGATATAGACAAAAAGACCAGCGTTGGAACGCCTCAATACAACATCGAAGACGTTACAAAAGTAGACGACCGAGAGGAAGTCCACAGATGAGATGGGTAGATGGCATAAAAAGAATAGCGGGAATAAAGTGGAAGTATGTTACTCAGGATAGAGAAGGAGTTGGGACAGCACTCTCTACTGCTGATAGCATTAATTAAGGAGGAACTAAGTTACTTTTTGAGAATTTTCAACTGTTACAAGACAACCAAATTATTCTCATACGAAGAGAAACTCAAAGTAAAGTAGGTACTTCAAAATCAGTAGAGCTTTTGGATCAGAAAGAATGAGAAAGACATTTTGAATAGTGGGGAAATAATTTTATTCAGGCGCTATATTCGTTTCATTTGTTGGCAATCATTAAGACCATGTCCGCTTTTGGCAGTGCTAATCCAAAAAGTACCTAATTTAGCTAGCAAAAACTCATATAGCATAAATGACCAAGACGTAGATATTACATTCAGTAGAAGAACACAGTAACCGGAATAGAGTGGTATTCATTGTATATAAAGAAGTCTCTAGTTCTATTAAATATGTAAGTTATATTTCAGACAGAGTCATCACGATGCAATTAAACTCAAAGCCATTGGATATTAATCTGGTCCAAGTTTAGCTTTTAGTTCAGTAGTGAAGATGGCATAGAGAAATTTTGTGATGATATAAAGAGAGTAATGAGTCAACTGAAAAATAAAAGACCTCACTATAATAATGGGGGACTTCAATGCCAAAGTAGGAACAGATAGACAAGAAAACATTTTAGGCAATTTCGAAATTGGACAACGTAATGGCACAATTTATAGAATTCTGCGTAGAGAACAAATATATGGAAAGGAAAATATATACTTAGAAGAAAGGCAGTTCGGACCACCAATTGTTTTTACTTAATAACATTTATACTAAAGTAGTTTGAATTCAAATTTAAGAAAAAAACTAAACTAACATTATCTAGGAATAACTTTTCTTAGTTTAAAATAGTTTAAAAATATGTATTATAAGACTCTGCAAATTTTTGCAAAAGTTTACAAAAAAGCACTTAAAAAAAGTGCTTTAAGTTTGGACCCTTCTTTTTCCTCGTATTTCGTACCTCCTAGAAATCTAATGAATTATGACTGGTGTAGAAATAATTCACGGTTAAATCAATATATAAATTGATTTCATTTTTAAAATAGATTGATTAACAAACTGTGTACAAATCTGACTTTTAAGTGACTTAAATACAAAAATATCAAAATAAATTAGCTTTTTTATAAAAGGTGTAGGCCGCCTATGAGTGTTTTAAGTTTAAATTTAGTTTACTGGCATAAGTCGCATATGTAATTATCTTTTTCTGCACTGGTACAATCAACATGACATGTGCCCAACATTGACACATTAGACATTTGATCCACTGTTCACCCGTCACTGACTTGAACCGTTGTTCGTTGCAGAACATGCACGTCACATCCGGTTTTTATCCTGGTTTTACAAAGAATCCGATTAAAGAGACTGATTTTAGAGACAAATAATCTTCTTCCTCAGATGAAGATCCCTTGTGTATGTCAAAATCTAATAATTGTCTTTTAACCGTAGAGCTAGGTTTATGCTTTTTACACTCTTTCTGTAAATTTTCTTTATTTCCAGCCTCTCACATCTTCTCTTTTGTTCCAGTCTTCTTTCATTTTTCCTTGGCATCTTTATATGTTTGTTCTTTTTTTCATGACAAAACCTTTTTAGCAATTTCTGCCTCTAAGTCTGCTTTATAAGGAGACGAAGTGAATATAGCCGACTTGCTGGGTTTGAGGCCTCTTCCAGATGATTTTTTTTATCAGTTTTTGCACAGGTAAGATTTGAAAGGGACTTGTGTAAACTGGAGAAGGATCTGAAAGAGAACTTGGTGAGAGGAATGGCAGAAGTATGGGAGAATGTGCCACCAGGTGAGAAGATTCAGAATTTTCCTCGTCAAGTATGTTGTTTGAAGAAGTGTCAACAGGATCATCAGATATACAGTAATTATCATCTAGATCAATAGGCTTCTCTTTTTGGGCTTCTGGAATGAACCCGACATCAGATAACTTGTTTCTATCTAGTGGAAAAATTCCAGTTATGGAATTTTTCCACTATTAATTAATGGGTTCAAGCCATTGATGGTTATTTCTGCCGTTTGGCGGTTTATCTAAGCCTTGCTAAACAGTTCCATTACGTCAAATACTGAGGGCGTTGGTTTATTAACAACCATTGCCTAATCTTCTGACTATAATATGTCTTTAAAGGAGACAAAAAAGAGTTATCGAAGGGCTGTGGCTAACTTATGAGTTGAATGAGGCATTAAGGTTTTGTTTAGCCTTCTCAATATTGTCAATATTTCTGGTGTGACTTGAATGCCCGTCAAAGAATAGGAAAACATATGATTCAGTTGTAGGTTTTGTAGTACTCAAACAATGGTTGAACCATTTTGTAAACAGTTATGTTGTAATCCATCCTGATGGCTGCACGTGAAAGACAGCACCTGGAGGAGCTTCTTTTGCAACTGAGCATTCATGTATTTCCGAGGAAATATCACCATGGGTGGAGCATTGTCTCCACCAGCACTCATACAGACTACAATTGTTATCAAGACAGCTCTTTCTGCTGATGTAAGAGAGGCTTATCTGCCTTTTTCCTCGAAGTTCTGTTTGCTGGATAGCTGTGTTTTTCAAACGCATATTTCGTGCTGTCAAAAAACATTGACATATTTTCTTTGTTAAAATCTACAGTTTTTGCAAATAAGGTTAGATACTGTTTGCTTACGAATTGAAAGTTGGCCCTTATGCATTTTTAAAAGTCTTGTCAGCCATCTTCCATGACATTCTTTTTGCCCTAGTGACTTCTCTAGCCTTCGTCATATTTGCCTCCGAACACAACCTCGTTTTCTTTTCTTTGGTGGTCAAAGAAAGTTTCAAAAGTAAATTGAAAATGAAGTACTTTCATTTGAAACTTTGACCACAGCGACATTAACCGGTCAACCAGACAACTTAAGTTCTTCTATTAGCAAAACCTTAAAGCAGGGCTAATGGATATGCAACTTATTATACAGCGATGTATATTAACTCCTTAATTATATTGATGTAAAACTACAAACCTTTTTTAACTCATGAAAAAATTGGAAGCCTTTTAGATGTGAAACTACCGACAAACATTACGGATAAGTTGGGTTGATCGAATAAGAAATTTAATCAAATAAAAAAGAACATAAAAGTATCAAAAAAAAAACACTGAAAATTCGAAAGTTACAATATTTCGACCATCTAAAGGGACATCCAGATCCAGATTGTCATCCTAGCTCCGAAATCTCTAAGAGTGGTATCAAGAGACATCCATCAATTTGTTTCAAGCTGCTGTAAACAAAGTTATTATTGCCAATATCGCCAACTTTCGACAAACGGACAGGGTATCAAAAGAAAAAGAATGGAGAAAAACTCTTGGCTATATTTCAGATGTGGAAAATACCGAGCAAAGATCACCACATGTTAAACAATGATAATATAAACAGACTCTCCAAGGACAATTGTATGGTGGGGAACCATGAATTTAAATACTACTTATTAATTTAAAATTTTATTTTTGACAAATAAAAGCTACCAAATCCAAAAAGAGCGTTTTCCAAGTATTCCTTAAAATAAGCAAAAATATATCTAATGGAAGTCTAGTCACACACGTGAAAAACGGGCTTACTCACATCTGCTCAACCCAGTACATTTTACTCGTGCTAACTGCCAAACGCAATATTGATAAACCCTCGAAATTTAAATAATCGTTAAGTTTTTTGAAATTTTTCAATTTTCTGTGGGATTTTCTTAAATTTTCTTATCATAAGAACCTTCTACACAGAAAAGGATGGATGAAAAAAGTTATGGTGTGATATAAGGAAATAGGAATTTATTTTTATATATTAGATTATAGATTATAATGAATTCTTATGTTTAGGTCCGGATGAAATATGCAGTTTTGTGATTGGTGATGCTTGCGGTGATATTTACAATCCCTACCACGAGTGGGAAGTTATGTTCCCACCAGTACCAAAGCCTACTGTAATTGAACAAAATGTACCAGAGGTAAGTACGAACTAAACTTATAATCATATATATCATTATTTAATAGCTTTTGAATTGCTTGAACTATTCATCCATTGATAATTTAAATCGTCAATTCAACTTATAAATATAAAACAGATGGCATTTTAAATAGATCATTATAATTATTATTATTGTTTTTGCCTTTATCGAAATCACTGACTCAATTTGTTTCTACATTCTATACATGTTTATACCTTAAATCATATTATTACTAATGATTTCTTTGAATAGTCTAATCACTCCCGATTACATATTCTGTGAACCTCCTATCTTACTCTTCTCAGGAATGTGGCACTCAGCAATGACAATAAAGATCCAATCCAAAACAGATTAATAATTAAGCAACATTTAAACAAAATGAGGTTTACTGATTGCTACATATTCACAGTTTTGTTCTACGAAATGAAGGCATGTACATTGACTGTGGTAACAAGATATTTTCAATATATCGTCAGTTTTTTTCGGCCGTTCTAATGACACTATCAAGGTTCAAACTCAAGACTTAAATTTAACTGAGATAAGATGGGGGTAGAAAGCTTCAAACATCAGTCAAAAATCTAATCGAAAGGGTAATCTTACTAACAAATTATCTAATATACAAACGAAAAAAAGAAGTATTTAAGGAAAATACATTTTATGCCACCTCAGGTACCCAAAATGAAGTCCCTCAACTTTTCGAATCAACTGGGAAAAATCCAAAAATTACGGAAGATAAATGCTATTATGTAGTTATTATCAACTTAACCTAAATTTACACCCCTATACAAGTGGTCACTTTATTAAAGAGAAGCTGGGTATCAAGGAATATATTAGATCGAGAAGTTGGGTATCAACTTTCTAGCATCAAATTCAAAAAAGGTCTCGAATTCATTCATTATAAGACCAGTTGATAAATCTGAATTGATCCAAACAATCAGTAGTATTAAAAGCTCCTGTAGTACTGATGGACTATCTATACAAATTATCTTAAATCTCACAAAAAAGCCCAAGCTCCCATATTTTTTCTCATCATCATCATCACACAACCAAATTTGTCCACTGTCGAACATAGGCCTCCTCAAGATGTCTCCACTCTTCTCTGTCCTGTGCAGCTGCGATCCAGTTTGTCACTATTCTTTTAATGTCGTCCGTCCATCTGGTAGGTGGTCTTCCACGATTTCGCTTGTCTGCCCTTGGCCTCCATTCTAAAATCTTCTTTGTCCATCTGTTGTCTCTCTGTCTTGCGACGTGTCCTGACCATTTCCACTTCAACTTCGTAATCCGTTTTATGACGTCTTCCACTCCAGTTCTTCGCCGTATCTCATCATTTTGTATTCGGTCTCTCAAAGTTACGCCAAGCATAGATCTTTCCATTTTTCGTTGTGCTACTTGTAACTTTTTTATTGATGCTTTAGTCAATGTCAGTGTTTCAGCTTCATAAGTGAGCACCGGAAGTACGCACTGGTTAAATGCTTTTCTCTTTAGCTTTATTGGGATGTTTTCCTTAAACACGTCTTTTAGCTTGCCATAGGCTGCCCATCCTAAAGCTATTCTTCTAGATAATTCGCATGTTTGGTTGTCTCTACTTATTTGTATTTCGTGGCCCAGATATATGTATTGACAACCGTTTCAGTATGCCAGTTTTCTAGTTTCAATGGTCCACTAGGTACTAAGTTGGTCATCATTTTAGTTTTCGCAAAGTTTATTTCCAGCCCTACTTTTTGGGAGACTCATTGTAAATCTTGTAGCATTTCGTTGGCCTCCTTTAGGTCGTCGGTTATTAGAACTATGTCATTTGCAAATCGTAGGTGGTTCAGCCTTTCGCCATCGACACTCAAACCTCTGTTTTCCCATTCTAACATCTGGAATGCATGCTACATTACGGCATTGAATAGTTTTGGTGACATGTTGTCTCCTTGTCTAACTCCCTTTTTAGTTTTATTTTTTGAGTAGGGGTGTGGAGGTTTATTGCTGTTGTGGCATTTGCATATATATGTTGAATAATGCTGGTATATCGGTAGTCGATTCTACAATCTCTCAAAGCTCTTAAGATAGCTACCATCTCGATAGTGTCAAAGGCTTTTTTATAGTCAACAAATACTAGAACTAGTGGCCGGTTGTACTCTATAGTTTTTCAATTAGGGCCTTTAGACAAGTTAGATGGTCATTTGTACCATACCCAGGACGGAAACCTGCCTGTTCTCTTGGTTGGCATGTTTCTAGTTTGTTCTCAATTCTGGCAGTGATAATTCGAGCAAATAATTTATCCAGTGAATTAGAAGACTGATTGGCCTATAGTTTTCGAGGTCTATTTGATCTCCTTTCTTATGCATGAGGAGCGTTATAAAATTATTCCATTCAGATGGTATTGCTTGGTTTTCTAAGCATATATTGAAGAGCTGCTTGATTGTCCTGATGAGAGCAGAGCCTCCGATTTTTAGCGCATCCGCCACTACTCCATCTTCTCCTGGTGCTTTGTTTTTTTTCATTTTCTTTAGAGCATGGTAAATTTCAGCCGTTGATATGTCGGGAATATCTTCTGAACCTTGATTCATAATTTTTTGTTCTGTATGTTCTGTCGGGTTTAAGTCCAATTTATTTGTGTATAGTGTTTTATAGAAGTCTTCTACTATCTCTAGCATTTCGTCTCTGTTGGACGTTAGTTTGCCATTCTTTCCCTTAAGTCTGATGATTTCTTTTCTGCTGTTCGTCAATTTCCTTCTTAATATCTTCATGCTCTTGTTGTCCTCGATTGTCTGCGAGATTTTCTCATTTTTATATGCCCTTATGTCCTTTCTAATTGCTTTTGAGACCTCTTTGTTGATTTTATTTATGCTTTGTTGTTCTATACTCTTATCTTTTAGCATTTCTCTTCTTTCTTCCATTTTAAGTTTGGTGTTAGCAGTGATTCTCTCCTCTCTCTTGTTACCTGTACAACATTTTCTTTGAGCTTCTGCTATGGTATTAGTAATTACTTTATTTAGCTGATTTATATCATTTGGGGGGGGGGCCTGTTTTGTAGACGTACCGTTATTTGATCTGCAAACTCTGTTTCATTTTTTGGTTGTGACCATGCTTTCAATTTTTTCTTTCTTATTAGTTTATTTCTCTCTTTATCGATGTTAATTTCTATTCTAGCGCGAACCATTCTGTGATCACTTCCTGTTGTGAAGCTGTTGAGTACAGTGACATATTTAACTATATTTTTTCTGCTTTTAGGCAAATGCACCAACATTCAAAGTCCTGCACCTATCGGATACGCATTATGATCCTTATTATATGGAAGGCAGTAACGCAGATTGTGCAGAGCCACTTTGCTGTAGACTAACTAATGGACCAGCGACATCGAAAGAATCAGCAGCTGGAAAGTAAGTCAAATAGAAGAATAAGTTTGTGTTAAATTCATCATTATCATCTCTATAATATCTATTTCTATCTTGTTTCCTATATAATTTGAAGAATTTAACGTAAGCCTTAACCATAAAGTAAACCTTATTATTGGAGACTTTTTGGTTCTACATTCAAAAAACATGGTTACCTAACCTAGCTAAGTAATAAATCATATTATTCGAGGCTACCTGGTTTTGTGTTTACTAATCTGTTAACTAACTGTTTATTAACCTAACCTAACCTAATCTAACCTAGCAAAACCAATTGTCCACCCACTTAGAAAGAAATGGCAACAGTTTCTCTGTGTATTTTTACGTAAATATAAAATTCATAATAATATTATGGCTCATGTCATTATCTTTCTCTATATCATCTATTCTAGACCTTCTTTCCTGTATTTTCAACAATTCAACAGTAAGTAAACCTTATTGGAGACTTTGGTTCAACAAACCTACCAACCTAATCTAATCACTGGCCTCATTTTGCCGCCCCTATCCCTTTCTCACTATTCATTTATTTCAAGGTCTTCTTTATCTGTAGGTTTTTAAGAATACATTAGTGAATACACCTTCTTACTGGAAACTTCTTGTTTTCTGTTCGCAATACCAACTAACCTAACATAACCTAACCAATTGCCATTAGAATTTTTGCGTACATTTTTGTTCATATATTTTTAAATTTAATTATTCGAGATTTGTTCGGCTTCAATAATGCCGTTTAAACAAGTTTGTCCGCTTCTTTTTTTTCTACTAATACTTTTTGTCTTTCTTTTTATGTAATGCTGTAATCTACTCCTCATTTGTTATTTTGTACGCCGTTGTAATAACTTATAATTACTATACAACATATATTTTTAGATGGGGCGACTATAGAAAATGCGATACACCAAAAATTACAGTAGACCATATGTTACAACATATTCAAGAGACCCACCCTGTAAGTAAATTATACTTTTTGACAAATAAGCGTCATATAATTAGTTTACGTTTTAGGATATCGATTATATTCTTTGGACTGGAGATCTACCACCCCATGACATCTGGAATCAAACAAGGGAAGAAAATTTAAAGATTCTTAAGGACACCGTCAAACAGATGTCGACGATGTTCCCTGGTGCACCTATATTTCCAGCTCTAGGAAACCATGAGTCAGCTCCAGTTAACAGGTATGTATAAATGTAATAAATAATCACTGTAGTTACATGGATTCACAAGTGTATTTATCATTGTATTATCAGATCAATACGCCTTTGCGTTTATGTAAGTAGACCCGCTAAGCTCTCTAGTTTAAAACAAGCTCTCATCCAAAACGGTTACCGGGAAAATCCCATCAACAGAAGCATCCACAGACCTCAATCTCCCACTTACTCTTAACCCAAAGACTCAGACCATCATCATACGAAAACTTTTCTTCCTAACATCAAAGGTTTCACTGAAAATTCTTAAATCAAGAGGAATAAAGACAATATGTCATCCCAAACCATTGTCAGAGTGTTTTCAACCACGAGATACGACGGCGTCTCGGTTCTCTGCTACCAAATACTTTAACCTTTATCCGCATCTTGGTTCCCAAACTGAGATTAGTGCAGCACAGTCAGGATCTCAACTTGATAATCTCTTCTTCTAGTTCCATGACTGTTATCGATCGTTGGATATCATGTTGGCTACCATATTCGCTAACGTGACTTTATTGACAGCAGCTCTAAATAACGATGTAGTTGATTTTCCATACCATTGCCTTATAATTTTTAGCCATGATGTTCTTCTTCTACCAGGACCATGATTACCTTGGATCTTTCCCTGAATGATCAGATGTAAAAGATCATATTTTTCAGGGTGTCTCATAATGTGACCGAAATATTCCAGCTTGCGTTTCTTTATTATATTGACCAGTTGTGTTGTTTGGTTCAGCTGTCTAAGGACCTCCTCATTTCTAACTCTGTCGACCCAGCTTATTTTCAGTAGTCGTCTGTATACCCACATCTCAAAGGCTGTCAAGCGTTTAAGCAGAGCCTCAGTTAGGGTTCACGCTTCTACTCCATACAGCAGGACAGGAAAGATGTAGCAAGATGTTATTCGAACTCTAAGGTCAATGCTAAGATCGCGACTGCAAAGTTCGTTTCTCATTTTTACAAAGGCACCTCGGGCTTGTTCTATTCCGCTTTTAATTTCTGCGGTTGGATCCCAGGTGTGATTGATATTACTGCCGAGATACACGAGTTTCTCTACTCTGTCCAGTGTGGCATCTCCGACTTTTATACCGTCATCCTATATATAATTTTAATTGCTAACTATCATATATTTAGTTTTCTTAACATTAAGTTTGTAACGACTATTTTGCTTACCGCAGGGTAAGAATATGGGGGACAAAGATTGAGCAAACAAAATAATCGAAACAAGTGCATACGGACACTCAGTTGGTTGTTGGAGAGCTGGGTCGTGGATAAGTTGAAGATATTGGGGGTTGGATTGGGCAACTACAAAAAAGAAATAAAGGGGTACTTATACAAATCTCTTGGGACAAACAGAATGAAAATAAACGGAAACACCTCAAGAAATTTAATATAGGGCGCCACTTGAGGTGCCCAATTATACCTATTACAAACACTAGTTGTAACTAGGGAAATAATTGTATAACATAAAAAATATAGAAAAAAATATCTTTTTCAAATAAAACTCAAAATAGATCAGAGAAAACAAATTAATCATTTATTTTTGTCTCAAACAAAACAGATCAAAAATACATATTATAAAGAAAACATATCGTATAACATAATACAAATAACAAAAACTTACATGTTCTTTGTTTACTATATTATGGCCAATTAGATTATCAAAAATTAAGGATCCTTCTTAATGAAAACATATAAATTTAAACTTATATATGAAATATCGTTTCTACATAATTATCAAATTAAAATTGTCATAACAAAAAAAAACAAATTAAACTTGCTGTCAGGTATCACATTTAATTTTGATGACAAAGAATGAAAGCAATTATTACTTTAGCCAAAAAATATCTGTCTTTACTTTGAAAAAATTAATATATTGAATTGTTACCTTAATGTTTTTTTTTATACAAACACTTTGAAACTTTGCATCTCTGGGGAAGCTACTCGGACAAAACTTTCAAAAACTGGAAGGCAGCAACCATCAGGAACTAGTTCTACACTCCAGGACAAAACGATTGGAACAGGAACTTAGTGGAAGAATCGAGCCGACTACGGGGACATCCTATATCATATTTCTTAGAAACTTCCGGTATTTATTCAAATCTGATAGTATTATCATTGACCGGTCCTAAGACATTTCAAAAGAAATTAAATCCTCTTTGATTCAAAAATGGCCCAACATTTCACATCCGCAAAAAGCGTCTACCACCATTTCAAATAGGTTCTTGGACTCACATTGTAGCACGTCTGCTCTGCTTCAAATCTAATCGTCGACCTATTGTCACATGTCTGCTCTGTTTGAAACTTAAATCTCGACTTCGTTTCAAATCTTTGACTCAATTGTCACATGTCTGTCCCGTTTGGAACTCAAATCTCGACTTCTTTGCTTCGTTACATTTTACAAGAAACTAGCCAAAAATTTCCCTTCCGTCTTGCAGCTAACCTGTCCCACAAACTCAAGAACCAAAACAATATCCCCTCGCTCGTATCGACAAAAAAACAACTTTTAAATGTTCCTTTATTGCCTAAACAAACAAATATTCTATTTTTTGACCCTCGTCTAATAACGAAAAACAAATTTAATATTAGGGGAATTCATGGTTTATTGCGTTTTAACATAATACCTCTTTGGCGACAAAAAACTTGTTTGTTTCACCTAACATTGCAACACAGAGATAAAAACATATTTCCAACGTTAATACGCATTTAAAAATCTCGTCAAAAAAAACTTGAAATATTTACAACGTACCTACATTTAACTTTATTGATCGATTTCTTGGTAGAAACAACAGGGACGTACCATAGAAATATTTTATATACACTTTAAATAAAAAAAAACGCTACAATGCCCCTTCTTAAAAGAAAAAACTCGGATAATTCTTATCCAGTTTTTGATAAAGGCAAAACAACAAAAACCAAATCAGAAGATGACCTCTTAACTGAGTCGAAACTTCTTAATATTATCTTTTAGAAATAGGTTACCTGAACTAAAATTATCAAAAGTGAAACAATATGAAACAAACGCTTTAAATCCTTAATGTGCCACTTACCAAGATCTGAACCATTTAAATCTGACAAACGATAAACCACTGGTGACAATTTTTCTTTGATAGTTGCTTCAATATACTTCGGTGCTAGTTTGGACATAAACTTGTTGACAGCACAAGACAAAACCTTATTTCTTTTCCAAACTCTATCACCCACTTGAAATTGGACTTCTCTTCTACGTAAGTTGTAACTCCTAGCGTTACGTTCATATCCTTTTCGAAGATTAGCCTTAACCTTTTCAAAAACTTTATCTAAACCTTTGACTTCTGAAGCATACATATTACGGTCACCTGGAATTATCTCGATATCTTGATTCTGTTGATCCTTATGATCAACACCATAATAGTTTCCACTTAAAGGAACATGACGGCCATAATTCAGGAAAGCTGGAGTATATCCAGTCACTTCATGCTTTGCAGTGTTAATAGCTTGTCTGATCTTTGCTAAATTCTTGTCCCAATCTACGTGGTCTTTAACATACGTACGTATTGCTGTAACAATGGTTCTATTGTTCCTCTCCACAAAATTACACTGAGGTGCATATACTGGGCTAAACCATACTTTCTGAACATTATACCTATTACAGAGCTCAATTAAGAGAGGATTGTTCAGATTTGAGGCATTATCACAAATCACATATTGAGGAACACCAAACATTAGGAAAACATCATTTTCCAAAAACTCAACAATATTCTTAGCCGTGGCCTTTCTCAAAGGTTGGACTAAAGTATATTTACTAAACCAATCAGCAACTACTAATAACCACGTATAACCTTTCTTTGAACGAACAAAGGGACCTATCAGATCTATTGCAACTATTTGCCAAGGAAACTTGGCCTCTCTCTGCTTACCCATTTTACCTAATGGAGCATAATTTGGTGTCTTCTGAGCACCACAAACTTTACATGACCTGACAAACTTAAGTACATCAACACGCATCTGGGCCAATAATATCTTTCCTGAATACGGGACAAAGTTTTGGAAAATCCAAAGTGAGCACACGTAGGTGGCTCATGACAAGACTGCATAACTTTAAACCTTTGTGGTTTGGGCACAAGAATTTTCCACTCAACATCATTAGTCTTAAAAGAATTTCTGGTAGGGACAAACTTATAAACAAAATCATTCTCCACCTTCCACTGTGGAAAATCAAGGGGGGATCGGACTATCTTTGATCTCAAATTATCAAACCAAGGATCTATTCTATCTACATCAACTTCTAAACAATTAACATGGGGACGACTATCAAAATCTTTCTTTTCAAAAATTGGGTTCACTGATGACCTGTAAGGTCTATTGGTCTTAGACCTATTCGAAATACAACACTTAGGACAAGAAGATATGATCACACCTTTATGACCACAACGCCAACAAGATACTGATTTACTCCTACAGTCACGGGAAATATGACCTGGTTTATTACAATTGAAACAAATAATCTTTTTCGGATTTCTTGGAGCTTGATAAGGGACTGACTGCATTAATGGAGATGGGGACGAAGAAGATTGCATTATTGGGGGTGGGGACGAAAAAGACTGATTTCTTATTTCAGTATTCTCTGGTGGACTGGGTCTATTATTTTCATACTTAAATTTGGGATTGGGTCTCCTAGAAGAATTTTCTCTGTCCTGTCTGTCACTTACTCCACTTCTATCTTGCTTGGTTTGATTATTCACCACATGAACTTGTTCTTTGGGCTTTTCTGAATCATCAATCGAAATACCTGCAAGACCTTTAGTAGTCTGCAACAAGGGCAGGACATTCTGCTCTAAACGTTTTTATAGTTGCTACTAACATTTCTACTGTAGCAAAATCTTGAAGGGCTATCAGTGGAATGTAGTCCACTAAAATATTTTTCCTCATTATTTTTACTTTTTGGCTTCACTAGGATATGTTTCCAAACGTTTAAAAGGTTTTCCATCACTGCTGAATAAATGGTTATGGAT